TGCGCTTGTTGGTCACCAAAAGAACTTTGCACACTGTAGTTTCAGCTGAAACAATATTGAGAATAAACAATATCTAGAAGACTTTCTGCGGTCATCGAGACTTGATCCATTGTTTGGTTTCAAAAATATTCCGGATTACTTTTTTGATTTGATTTGCACATTATCAAACTAGCTTTTAAAATCATTTTAAGTGCATCAAGTGTGAGGATTTTAAGGCTGTATTCCATGCTTTGCCAATAATTATCTCCCTGGTGGATTAACCGTAAAGAAGGTAGCCCACTTATGTGTTTGCCATTAACTGATTGAGCAAATCATTCCCATGCAGTCCTATGAAATGTTTCCAGTTCGTAGGCTTGGTTTACATTGTTTATGACCTTATATGTCTTTGCTAGCTGTACGGTGACTAGGAATCCTTTGGAAAGCATAAGGATACTGTGAATAATGCACTGTTCAAATCTGAAAGTTTAGTTTCAGCACCATTATCAGTTGCATGATAACATTTTTCTGGACATCTCAGGCATATTATATCATAAAAATAGCTAACAATATATGCATGCCATGAAGTTGTAGAAGGCCATTCAGCTTGACAGGGTCATCACTACCATGAGAAAAGGTTATTCCTTCAGGCAGCAGTTTTCCTTGATCATTGCAACACATTATTAGCAGCTCCTTTTACTTTTATTTCCAGCAAGGCTTATAAACCTACCAAATATAATCAGTATTTTTGCTATAGCTGTATATAAAGTTATCTTTTTCATTATGTTGTCATTATTTTATTTATTTCCAAGTAGAAATGACCCGATGGTGTTTATTTTAGAAATGTGTGTAGCAAACATTCACACTTACACTTTTCACAAGTGCAATTAACATATACTAGCATTTTACTTGTACAGTAGAAGGTTAATAACAGTCTTTCTACGTTGGATATCTTACATTTTCAAGTGTTATCTTATTTGTTAGGTAGATAGAGAGGTCAGGATAAATAGCTGCACATGTATTTACACCACAGCGTGGTTATGCATAGAGATTAGAAGCACCCAAAAAATTTGTTAATTAAGTAATCCGATGTGTCTGCCTGCTTGCATTGAACTCCGCAATTGTTCTCGAATATTTCTTCAAGATTTTTCGTGCCTTGTTTGTCTTTCATTGGAGCCAACTGAATCTAGTAATGCGAAGAGAAGACCGCTTCCAGTTCATCTCAGACCGATATTTATTGCTTATCCAATACGTACTTCTGTTGCTGCAGTTTTGTTTAATAGTGCATAAATAACAAAAGACTGTCGAAGGCACACGTCATAACTCTACTAAAAATAACCATTTTGGGAGTTGCGTCCCTTTTATACATCCTACCGAGAAGGTCGTTCTTAGTGGTTCTATGTGGTTGGTAAAATAATGTTCTCCTTTAAATAATACACACCTGGTTTTTGTTTCTAACCTCTAACTAGTAAGCATCACATTTGTATGTTACTTCTAATCGGGTGAACATATCACTATAAATTTACAAAATATTGCAGAATCAATATGCAGGTTGAAAACAGTTGAGAAGTCCAGGTCTTATTTTTTAAATATTTTCAATGACATATTGCTCTACTGGTTGTATTGCGACTAACTTGCATAATGCTAATGTTGTTACGGAATCGCGAAGTCAGCAATTTCTTTATGCTAATGTCTGAGATGTACATTCAGGCTTTAGGCCACAGTTAACAAATTACAATTACCTAAAATTCCCACCGCACCAGCATCGAAATACGTTAATACGTCTGATAATAAATGGCTACCAACTGTTTTCTGGTCAATGTTCCAACTGTCAACTTCCATACAAACCATAACATGAACCCCGTTCCGGTAAACAAACTAAGCCCTTAATGATCTATCAATAACTCCGGACTTTGTCTGAATCAATCCGACCATTATGGCTTTTTAGGTGCAGCCAGTCCCCATAAATCGAGTAAATCGTAGATGTATCTAGCTAAATGTTGCCTACAGATATTAACAATAACAAAACAGAAATCGACCGAACATTTGGCTTGTTACAGCAAGCCCCTTAGGCGTTTTAAGCTTTTAGCATCTTTCAAAAATATACGTTTAAATTAAATACCTTTATGTGTTTTTGAAAAAAAAAAATTCTTGTAGTTATTATCGAGTCTTTTCATTTCAGTTTTCAGTGACTCATTATCTGATTTAATCTATTTTAAGTCTATCGACACTACTACTGTAAAAACGAAGTTTGGTATTTTACAGTTTTAACTGCGCGTGTCTTCGTTGTAAATTCTTAATGCTTAAGGCATTTAAGTCGTGTTTCATCTTTTTGTCTACATTCTCTCTTTGAACTCTATCTAAACTCTAAATTAATAACGATTTCAATATTAAGTATTTTGTTCACAGGTTTTTCTTTTGTGCAACCTCAGTTTGTAAATTGTAAAATGTTTTAAATGTAACATATATTCTCGATATCATTTATGGATTCAATATGTAAACAGCAAGATGGTTTTGTCGATACAATTCGCTGTTATTCATATTCATTACATTTTTATTCTCCTCCACCTTTTAAGTTACCCCTATTAATAATTTTATTTATGCAACTTGTTGGCAGTTTATCTTGCTATTTTCACCAGTAATTGTCAACTAAAATTATTCATAAGCATTTAGTTTCTCGATCGATTTGTATGAAGCTGTTGTAACTGTGACTGTAAAGTTTCATAAATACCATACAGTTTTGTATTTTACATGTCATCTCTGAAGTCTCTTATGACATCGTTACTCTCTTTTCATTTGGTTGTAACTAATAACTTATATTGGGTATTTGGTCAGCTATTTCTCTTACGGTCCAGAAGCTTATATCGCTTTGCAGATGCCGATATGTAATGTATAATTGTTATTCGAGTGATTTTTATTTTTGATTTGTGTTTCAAATATTCAACATTAAAGTCGTAATCCCCTCATCACCATTTTTACTTATTTCGTCAATGATTTCATTCTTGTACACCTCATAGTTGAAAATTTCCACAACAAATTCAAAAATGTAAACAAACACGTGCTATTAGTGCTTTCATTCTTGTCACTTATATAATTACATATACTGTCTCTCTATTCATAGAAAATATTGTGGTAACTAATAATAAAATATATTCTCTGCAAACGATATCAACGTCAATTCTGTTGTCAGTTAGATTGTGAGATTGGATCCTTTTTTACCTCGAGTTCTCAGGGTGCTGGTCTATTTTAACATACATTTTCATTGACATTGAATAATTTAAGAGTACAAGTTTTTCTGTTTAATTTGTACTGACTGATAAAGTCGATGAGTGTTGTTTATAGCAACAATTTACAAGTCTCCTTATTCGCCAAGAGTTTCAACCTCTGTTTCACTCCATAGGCGTTGCCAGTTACCTCATGTCTTGGTTGTAACTGTTGTTCGCCTTGATAAGGTCATGGTAAGGTCATGATCTGCACGTGTGCCAAGGGCGCAGTTTCTTTCGTTTTTTTTTATACATCGCATTACGCTTCTTTTTATACAGACTTTTTATTTCCATATATGTATCATTAAGATCATGCCAAAGGCACAATATCTGCTATTTATAATAAGGCACTAAAAGCAAAATAGCGCGAAGGTATTAAAATGTAGGTTTGCTTTTGAAAGTCAATTAGATGTGAATGGTATAGTACAAAAAAAAAACAAAAAAAAAAAAAAAAAAAAACAAAAAAAACCCCACAAGATCAAAGCTAGGTTGATGATATTACAAATATTGCCAGTGGTTTTGATAAAGTAATTTGGAAACAGTTTGAACAAGAGTAAAACGAATTTAAATTGGATGAACGAAAGTATGAAAATAAAAGTACCCTAGAATTCCGTAAAAGAATATATATATATATATATATATATATATATATATATATATATATATATATATATATATATAGAGAGAGAGAGAGAGAGAGAGAGAGAGAGAGAGAGAGAGAGAGAGAGAGAGAGAGAGAGAGAGAGAGAGAGAGAGAGAGAGAGAGAGAGAGAGAGAGAGAGGTAGTTTACTTGATTGTCGCAAGAGAGATGGCTAGCACCCTTTTCAATTAAGAAAGAGCGAGCTATATGTTTTATATTTAAGATAACATCAAAACACTGCTGAGGCATTAGCAAGCTTACAGGCTGTTCTCGCTGCCACCATAGGAAGCAAATGTCATGACCGATTTCAATATATAGGATAAACTTATTATTTGTACAAAGTGCAACACAGCCAAAATACTCAACCAATTGAAAAATAGCAGATTTTTCTACACGTTACATACAGTATACGTCATATTGAAGGACACGAGTTTCATTAACACAAATAAATTTACTAGTGTTTTTACCAAAATGAATTCATATATGAGTGAAATATATATTTTATGTAGAAATAATGAAGCATGACAAAATCAAAATTATGAAATCAAGGCAGCTGGAAATATTGAAAAATATTACAATATTTATGTTTATGAATCTGAAGTCCATTACATTAAATGTAGTCTACTGTTTTAAAATTAACTTTTATTACTGTTAGGATTAGAACATCTTGCCTTATGGAGGGAGTCCATCAAAGCCCTTTTAAGAAGTTTGGTGGCCCTATGCACAAACTCTAACCTGAAAAGTAACCAGAATTGCGCCTCATTCTCTCAGTCTCAGATATAGAGTATTGCATTGCATTTCCATGTGCATGTGTTTCATTTTGTTAAATTTATTAATATAGTACTAAACTGCTAACACAGTCGATACCTAAAGTTTGCTTTTGGACCGCTGCGGCTTCCCCTCCCCATTGCGTATGGTCCCAGGTTTTCAAAAAGCATTAAAGTATGTCTGTCGCCTAATGATCATTATTTAGATATTAAGATATATTCATTTGAAAAATTCTGTTTTGCCTTTATAATCTATTCTAATACCATATCAGTGTCTGAACACCTTTATATATATTAATTTTTATTTCTTTTTCCAATTTTCCCTTTCAGATTCTCATTATAGCATTGAGACCGCTCCGGTGGATTAGTGGTTAGAGCGTCCGCCTCAGATGCCGGAGGTCGCGGGTTCGAACCCAGACTGAATCATACCAAAGACTTTTAAAAAATGGTACTAACAGCTGATTCGCTTGGCGCTCAGCATTAAGAGGTTAGTGTTAGGACTGGTTGGCCTGGTGTCAGGATAATGTGAATGGGTGGGACATCATGCCACATGTCTGCGACATGTTGCCCCACTATAAACTGTCACACTGCAGACATCGTAGCGATAAGACAGAAAAAGTGTTAAAACTACTTTAAAAGTGTAAATCACACACGCACATACGCACGCACACACACTTTATAGCATTGGAAACATTTTACAGCTGTTTGAAAATAGTAGATTGGGGAGATAGAGCCTCACTTAGACCTCTGTTAATTTTAGTGGGTTGCACCATAGCCTCAAGATATATAGTACCAAAATCCAAACCCTGAAGGAATATAGCGTCAAGGGAATTTTGTATAGGGACAATAGGACTGGATCAGGTTGGAAATCGGTACTGGACACTTGCGACAATGTGGCAAGGAGCTGACTCTAGTGAGGGACAAATACAGTAGAGACATAAACATAGGATATGTATAACACATATATAGCATAGTGCATAGTATATATGATATGTTATTCTTTTTGTATGTGTGGATAGTAGAGTGTATGATGTATGTCTTGGCGCTTGTTTGTGTGGATAGTATATAACATATGAAGTGAGTACACGGGATATTTTTGTTTACGTCCGTGCTTGAAGCATATAACGGGAAACGGTTATATATGGCAAAATGAGAATAAATATATTTTCAGGGTAGTGGAATGCCCATGAAAAGGGTCTTTGGAATCTTTGTCTATGTTCTCCAGTTCTTCCACCAGCTTCTCACTTTTCCAGTAATTCATTTCTTCTTCTCTTCTTCATCTGCTATCCTATCTGGATGTCACATAGCTCTGTTTCCTTTGTCCTTATTCAGTTCTTTTTTAGTCTGTCAAACTCCTATATATTTTTTCTCCTTTGCTGATGTCTATTAATCTTTTTCACTTCTTCTTCCATTACCCTTATCACGACATCTTAGCCTTTCTTTAAATGTATTATTCTTTTACGACAAAAGGCCACTCGGTTAAATGGAATATGCCATCCACAAAACAGCTCATTACAAAATAACAATGACAAGAACCTGCTTCAAGGTTCCCACTCTTTCATATTTAGAAAGGTTGAAGCCTCTCAACTTATCCGCTTCTTCCACAATTATCATTGGCAATTGATAACTGACTACTTTCAGCATGGTCACAAAGTCTAAGATGCCTGGGAACCTCCATTCCTTTTCAAGCCTATCCAGCACATAACCTACATCCATCCATCATTCAGGATCAACTGTCTTTTAATTTGTTAAATGCATCCATTTTGATAGATGTTGGCTAGCCAACGCCGGTAGCAAGAAGGAAGACCGTTTCCCGTTATATGCTTCAAGCACGGACGTAAACAAAAATATCCCGTGTACTCACTTCATATGTTATATACTATCCACACAAACAAGCGCCAAGGCATACAACATACACTCTACTATCCACACATACAAGAAGAATAACATATCATATATACTATGCACACAATCGTACCCGAACGCAAAAAACACACCATATCTACTATCCACTCCAACGGGAAGAGAAGAAAAAACACTTTACCAGCCACACAATCGAGCGCGAACGAAATCACACACACACACACACACACACACACACACACACACACATCTGTAAAGAAGTGAGTCTATATAGTTACACTTCTCATTCACAGAAGTTGGCAACTTGAATAGTCTCTTTTCTAGATATCTGATTAGTCCTAAGAAGGGCGTTTTTCTAACTCTAAAATACATTTTTCATTGCTGACACCTTCCATGCCAGATACCATACAAGCATCACATACTCGAATCATTCTCCAAATTAATGGGTGTGGTTGTGAGCGCAGATGGCTGATTAGTGGCCTCATCATCCCAGTTTTAACTTTGAGGGATAGTGAATACTTGTTGCCTGTTATCTCCTATGCCAAACCCGGAGATGATGAGGTCTCTGTTCCCTGTGCTCCCCCTCTTCCCGCTGTCTCTCTAATTCCTCGAATGCTTCCGCTTCCCAGTTTTCTGCCTGGGACAGCGGCTTTTGGTACTGGTTATACTGGTGGCAGAGGATGTGTCTGTTTTAGTTGTGGAAGTGGTGGTTGTGGAGGTGTTGGTATCCTCACCTCAGGTTTGACCGCAAACAGGGACTCAATATGAAGTGAAGCAGGATCCCTCTCTTTTTTTCTTTTCAATCTTCTTTCTTCTTTCCTTCGTTTTCTTTGACAGCTGGGTTGTTTTTGCGATGGAGGCCATGGTCAGGTCAGCTCATTCAAAATGAACATGGCATGCTCCAGGTGCGTTTGAAGCTCAAGAAACTTTTATTCTGTTACTCATGTTGATACGTCAACGATGGGTAGCTAGACTCCTTCTCCTGTATGTATTATAGTCATGTATACACTCTCGTGGTTTATGACTTTAAGCCCTGATAAGAGCTAGTGGCCTCTTCCCCTTCCGGGGCCGGGCTCACCCTTGTCTTCGTGATAGACACTTTTTTGTGCCCCGGCGCATGGGCCTATTAACCCCCTGGTGGCTCACCGCCTGAGCCGGTTATCACCTTTCGGTGATAGTGCTGTCCAGGAAGGTACTTAGCCTTGTGCTTGGCTTTTGGGTATGGTGCTTAACCTTTTTCGAGACCTTAAAAGACCTTTTAACTGGCTATTTCCACTGAAACACTCAGACCGCCCCGAAACCGGGCTCAGAAAATGCAAAGGAAAAGGCCAGGTAACCAGACTGACGAGCGCTTGGATTTATATTCCTGAAGCACAGACGTGAAGGAAAACATCCCATGGCAACAAACCTTACAATACTACTATTGTTATCATGGACCCAAAAGAATTACTCACGTTGACCTTTTTACTTACATAGACAGACATGCACTATTCTACAAGACAGAAACGAAGTGTGGATTTTACTGACAAAAGAAACGAATTACTTTTAGACACACTTCTATTTTTATAACATAAACACATATTTTTGGCAATTGAATTAGTTTGTCAAGTAGCAACGGCAATCTTTACATCTTTACTCGTCTAAGACTTAGTCCTCATCTGGCAGTATGCTTTCGTACAGGATAAGGTATGCTTCTGCGGAAGAAGAACTCCTTGGTGTCTACTCGCTAGTCAACAAAACATATGTCTTGTTCCTTAATGCTGTTGTTGCTTCTGTTGTTGTTACTGTTCTCTCTGTTGCAATTGAAGTCTATAATTCTCTGTCCATTCTTCTTATTCGTTCTTGATTTCTTCTCTGAAGAGTTCTTCTATTAGGTCTTCGGTCACTTTCAACATATTGACTTTCTATATCTCTTCAGGTTTCAGTATTAGCTTTTGCCTGACACGATGTAAATTGACATAAGCTTTGTTCAGCCTGGCGAGTCTGGAAGACATGAAATAGGTGGACAAGTCAGCCATTAATGGCCAGACTGGAGACCGACTCAATTTATATGGTACAAGCTCGGACGCGATAGAAAATATCCCTATCGGGTTTTGGTTCTGTCAGAACATTATAATAGCGCATATCATGGTGAGTGATATAGAGAAATCAAGGAGCTTTGATTCATAGTGATTTTGAAAACAAATGAGAGAGACGCTTTTCAAAACACAACATTATTTATTCAGCAAACAAGGTTGAGAACGTTTTGAAATCTTGTGAGATTTCCACTGATGGAAGTAATGAGGCCACTGATGTACACTACGTTTCCTAGCTAATGACAAAAGATAGCCAAAACGGTCACAAACCATCGCTCTACATTCTCGTCGTTTCTAGAAGAGTCATGATCAAAATATGTGGCTAAATGTTATAAAGAATATCCAAGACTGCCTTAATGAAGAAGATATACACAATATTGTCCACACACCATGGAATCAGTGCTTTGTAATTTCACATTATTGAATTGTGTTGTCTGGGCATTTGTTCTCATAAAGTCAATGATGTCGTCTTACAAAGATGCCATATGGTTATACGAATTAAAATATCCAATCAATCCACTTTTGGGACGTAGACAGCTACCAGATTGGTTTCTGGGAGATGACTGTCGTCCGTGTTGATGACATAAGCTTGATGTGTTTGAGTTTGGAGGTGACGTAGTTGTCTTTAGCGCACACGACAGAATTTCAAGAAGCAGCTGTTGAAAAGGTAATAAAGTTCACAGGTATCCATTTTTTACTTGTCTGCTTGTTGTTTTCCCACAAGTAATAATGAGTCATCAATTCAAATCTAACATTTTGCTTGAAAATCTGTCAAGTAACCGTTTCTTTGTTTCGTCTCCGCACTCTGGGCAAAGAGTTTTTGAGGCGATAGATCTCCAGAACAGACATTGGAGAGTAGGAATGACAACACAAGCCTTATACAACTCACTCAACACTGCTTCTTCCGAGATGAGGCCACAAGCCTCGTACAAATACTCATCCAATGTTTTTTCTTGGCTCATCTTCAGACATATATCGTGTTGAATTTGACTGGGACAATCGTTTTGACGTCCATAGCAATCTTCTTGACCATTTCCGTAATTTTATCCGACAGGTGTTTGGCAAAACAGGGCACTAAATGTTGTTCATATTCAGACCATCTGGACGTGACCACTACCTTGGCCTATTCGTCTTTTTCTTGGGTTCTGGTTTCACGGTATCCTCCCTCTCCATTTCCATACATTATATACTCTTCAAAGAGGGATAAGAGTGTTCTATAGTTTCTAAATAATATAAAATAAGTTATCTCATGCTGCTGTTTTCAATGGTATTATCGAATTCGGCATACTGGAAATGTTCACAGTCTCGCGAAAGCATCTGCAAACGCAGTTGACCAGATTGTATAGGGTGGAAATGTCTTGGTCTGGAATGAAATCAGTGGCCCACAGAGTGTAACCTCCTGTACAATCTTCTTACGAAATACATTGGCTGGTGTTAGTTCCGAGCTATCCAGTAGATTTGTACAGAGACAAATAAGATGTCAAGTAA